ATCACGACATTTCGGTCAACAACGGACCACAGATACAGCAGTGGTCCCATAAAATTAGTACCATACAGCCTCAGTGTGTGGTAGTCTATACCACCTAGGTTTGTGTAAGTACTCTTAGGATGCTGGTACAATGATGAAACTGCCTAACGACGCGTTTCTCAGAACATATCCTTGTCACTAAGCAACGCGTGACTGTATATTACTGTTATCATCATAGGGGGGTACGATCTTATATTAACAGAAGAATTTCATTCTTTCCAAGTCCCTGTTGACTCATTACCCCTCCCGGCCCCTCAGGCATCAACCAGGGGACACCAGCCACTGGGCAGACAGGCCACAGGAGAACAAGCAGGTCTGTTCTCTGCTTTTCGTTTCAAGGCAGATAGCAGGCTGCAAGGTTTTTGAGTACCAAAAGTCAGAGTTGATGCCTCAAACAACAGATTTCGGAAGAACACTTTGCGATAGCAGAGTCTGTTATCCCAAGACCAGAAGGAGGAGGAAAGTCAGAGGGAAAGTAAGAGGCCTCTCCTGGCCTCTGGTTAAAGCCATGAACATAGAAGGAAAGGGCAGGGTCCCCACAGACGTTCTGGAGAACTTAGGAGTAGAGGATTCTGTGCCTCATGGAGATGGCCCTGCCATCTGTCCTGAGGAGGGTGCACTTGGCTGAGGGGGGGCGCCAGGGCAAGAGAGAAGATGAGGTAGGTCATGAGCTTCCCAAAGCTCCAAGAGGTATAGGAGGGAGGGGGAGAGAGAGAGAGCATGCTCCAGCGATGGGACGCCGGACGCACAGTGTTCTTAAGGCTACGAAGAGAGAATGCTTCCACTGCAAAAAGGGAGGGCTGGCTAGAGACCTAGATGGCAAAATAAGGGCCGGCTGAGGACAAGCCGAGGTTCTGAAACCCAGTGGATGCCTGTGAAGACGGGCACTACCTGAGCACCAGACAACTGTTCCCCCAACCGCGTCCCTGCCCTCCTGAGGCCATGACACTCACGACTGCAGAGGACAGGGATGTCTTCTCCAGCCAAAAAATAAAAGACAGACAATTGCTGAAAGGACTCCTTTACATGTTAAACAGTTATATCCACCTGGAATGGAGGGAGGTTATTTTTGCCCCAGCAGGTGGAATGGAGGCTCAAGCAGAGACTCAGTTGAGTTAGAGGAAAATGGGAGACTCTGCCATTCTGCACACTTGATTATCTGTCTTAAAAAGCTGTATCTGACAATTTAAAAGAAAGAGTTCTCTGCACGCGGACGGTGTAGTCAGATAAGGCCACACACTGCAAAGAGAAATCGTCTTTCTACAGTCAGAATTACAAGTTCTCATTTTCAAATTCTAAAATGTTATGCTTTTTGATTAAAGAGATAGTGGCTTTACCTTTGACCTAGCAAAACCGTTTCTAGGAATTTACTGAAAGCAAATCATTATGGATGTGCTCAAAAATGGTAAGAATGGGCATTGTAGCATTGTTTATAATGAAAAAAATTTGGATAAAGTCTTAAATGACCAGCATTAGGAACTGGCTACAAACAGCAGCGGTGAATCCTGGCATCTGGCGTCAGCACGCTGCTGTGCAGAGCCTCAGCCTACAGCTGTGTGGCCTCGGGCAAGCTGATGTCACAGAGGACATCTGAGGCATGAAGACAATGGATGCTGCATTCCAAAGGAGTTCCTCTTGTAAAAATGTCAAAGCAGGTGGGCAAGCACCAGTTAAATGACTTTTAAACCCCTCATTCACAATCAAGATATGAAAGGATTATTTTAGAAGAATGGATGTAAGAGAGGATTTTTCTGGGTGTTTCCTCAGTGAGGACTGTTGATGTGCTTTGGGCCACATGCCACTCCACTCCTAAGAGGAGAGGTGGGGGTTGTCTCGTCTTCCACTTCAAGTTATAAGAAAAGGGTTCAGGGGGCCTCAGAGACCCTCACCTGAGTCCCACAGCTGGTGGACACAGTGGACTGGTGTGTGATTCCTGCCCAAGAAATCTAAAAGACACGACAGTCAGGCCAGCTGCCGCTGGGTGAGCTGAAGGGAAAGCGGCCTGCGCTGGCAGAGTCCCAAGCCACACAGGCATGAGCTTTCATTATATGTTCTTCCTGTAGGACCACCCCCTGGGGTAAACAAGACCAGGCTGCATGCACAGCTGGAGGGCGTACTGCCTGCATTATGGGGGTGCAGGTGGCAGGCCCCCAGTGACAGGCACCTCTGAAGAAGCTCCACACATGGGCCAAGAGAAGAGGGGTCTGGCCAACCCAGCAGGAGTCATCCATGAGAGTAGAGATCGAGTGCAGACATGCCCACCCCCCAAACGCTCCCCAATCCTGACCTCAATTTCAGAAGGACCAGAAATACGGCTAAATAATAAGAAGAAACTAACTAATGGGCTTTAAAAAAAAAACAGCTAAATAAGCGAAACGGATGCTAAATAAGTGGGGGGCAGGGCGAGTTAGAGAGCGAGAAAGCCCCCTCCCTTCCCCCGCTGCCGGCTTCAGCAGTGGGAGGGGATCCAACCTTTGGGTGAAAATTGAGTTTTGATTATTACACGGAATGAAACTGGACATTTTGTGGAATTAAGACCATGTTTTTGTGATTTGGAGTGACCCACACAAATTTAATTACCTAAAATGGACCAGAAAAGTCACAGGACTTGCCCACTTCCCATGCGGGTGCAAGAGAAAGCCTGGCCACACCGAACATATTTACAGGGTGTCGGGAGACAGAAATCAAGTGACTTCCTTATTATTCCCATTAGTCTTGCCGGCTTAGCGTTCAGTTACATAATCGAACCTCTCCTGACCTCAGTTTCCCCCACTGCAAAATGGGGAAAATGACACACAGCCTCTGTGAGAACGCAGCGAGACGATCCCCGAAAGCTCCTAACAGCGCGCAGCCCAGAGAAGGCGCTCAGCGAGGCGAGGGACTGCCGGCGGAGAGACAGCGCAGCCCTGCGCACGCACCGGGGGACACTCAGGGACACAAACACGTTCCTGAGGACCTAGGAGAAACGGGGCGATTCAAACCTCCCTTCCCATGACGCCAGGGTTAACTGCATATTTTTTTCACAGAAAATAATCTAGAAATAAAAACACCGAAATATTAACAAAGGCCATCTAGAGATAGACGATTACAGTTTTTTAATTTTCTCTATTGTTTTTTCCTAAAAGTTCTGCCATAAATATGTACTGCTTTTGTAACAATGTATTTTTTTTAGTCAAGGGGAAAAGATGTAACTTCCCTAGGCAGCATCTGCAGCTCTAATTGTCCCCTTTGTCATTTTATATCCCCAGCTACTTTAAAATACACAAAGCACAGCCTCCTGTTGGCGCTGCCATGCTTTTCCTCCCTGAAGGCAGATTCTGAAGAAGCCACTTCGCTGCAAAGGCCAGTTACTGCCCGGGGAGCTCAGGTCCACCCAGGAGCCTGGCTTGGCTGCAGCCTTCCGGAGCCGCAGCAGCAGGCAGCTGATGTATCCCGAGGCACTTCTGGACCTCCATGGCATTCATTACCCCGGCTCTGTAGGGAACAGAATGCATTTTTTTTCCTCCTACTGGGTTGTTTTGAGAACCCCATCAGCATCCAAGAAAGCCTCAGGATTTTTTTTTTTCTGTTGGGAGCTGCGGCGGCTTTTTTTAAGAGCAATAACACTACTAAAGGTGGACCGAAACAAAGGACATGCTGGTGGCTTTAAAAAACAGGAAGTCCTCCATTTCACTGCTGTGGTTTCCATGGGCATTTTCTCTGCTGCAGGAGCCCTCCTAAGTGTCTGTGCAGGCCCACGGGAGGCTGATGAGCCAGACGGGGCGAGGCAGGGAAGGTAAGAGCAGGAGAGATTGCAGTTTGGAAAAATCTCTCCTTTTAAAAGAACTGAAGCTTTTACTAGTGGTGTGCTGTCAAATATGCGTATGCAGCTCTCTCCGAGTGGTGGGAAAGCTCCCTCCTGATACTGAAGGAACAGTAAGGCACGCCCCTGCCCATCCATGGCCTTGAGTCGGCCAGCACTTCACCACTTACTAGCCAGAATGCTGGGTCTGATCTAAGAGGGAGACAAGGTAAAATGGTGCAGTCACTTTGGAAAATAGTTTGGCACTTGCTCAAAATGTTAAACATAGAGTTACCATATGCCAGCAATTCTACTCCTAGATATATACACCCAAGAGACATGAAAACATATATCCACATAAAAACCTGTGAACAAATGTTCATAGCAACATCATTCCCAGGAGCCAAATAGTGGAAACAACTCAAAAGTCCAGCAACTGATGAATGGCTCAATAAAATGTAGTATATCCATACAATAGAATATTATTCAACAATAAAAAGGAATCAAGTGCTGATACATGCTACAACATGGATGATCCTTGAAAATGTGCTAAGTGAAAGAAGCCAGTCACAAAATACCAAATATTGTATGATTCCCTCTAAACAACATGTCCAGAATAGGCAAATCCACGGAGACAGAAAGTAAATTAGTGGTTATCTAGGGCTGGGGGTGGGAGGACAGGGAGTGACTGCTAACAGGTTCCTTTTGGGGGGACAAAAATGTTCTAACTCTGTGAATATACTAAAACCAATAAATTGTACAACTTAAACTGGTGAGTTGTACGGTATGTGATTTATATCTCAATAAAGATGTTGAAAAGAGAGAGAGAGGGGAGGGGAGAGATTGAAAGAGAGAGGTAATCGTCCTACAATATTTATTCTAGAAAATGAGGATAAGATGTAGGATTGCTTTTTGACAATACCGAGATGTTAAGAACTAACTTTACTTTTCACAATTTCTTCTCTTATCACACTCTAAAGACGTCATTTTGCCACTCTATCAAAGCCCAATTTCTTTTTTTTTTTTTTAAGATTTTATTATTTCCTTTTTCTCCCCAAAGCCCCCCGGTACATAGTTGTATATTCTTCGTTGTGGGTTCTTCTAGTTGTGGCATGTGGGACGCTGCCTCAGCGTGGTTTGATGAGCAGTGCCATGTCCGCGCCCAGGATTCGAACCAGCGAAACACTGGGCCGCCTGCAGCGGAGCGCGCGAACTTAACCACTCGGCCACGGGGCCAGCCCCAAAGCCCGATTTCTAAACAACGTCCAGGGCTTGTCAATCACCTCATCAGTGCACATCCTGTCCATCCCTCACCTCCCAAGTAAACCTCCAGCCACTCATCCTGGGCATTTACTCGAGCACTTTCTATAAGAATACTGTGAAGCCACACATAACGTGGAACTGCATCTTGAGAAATTTATAACGAAACCTGCACATGGGATTACAATATTTTTCCTCCTTTACCAGCAATTTCAAAAGGTTTATAACAACAAACTGATGCAACAGAGAGAGAAGTGCAGACAGCCTGGATCAGATGGTGTCCAAAAACTGACCCTGGCACACCTACTGGGACCCATATGTCTGCTCCTCCCCAGCCAAGCCCAGCCAGGGTCAGGCTGGCGCTGGATCAAACCCCACAGTGGAGGACTCAGCCAAGAGGAAAACCCAAACTGCTCTGGGGGAAAGCCAATTGTCTGTGGGTCACTTTTTGATGAGGTAGCTGGTGCCAAAAATCTAGGAGATTCCAAAAGGTCTCTGTCAAGCCATCTTCCTTTTCTGTGGTTTGTTTTTCCTATAATGACTCATGATATCAGCACTTCAGTGTTTTAGATAAGAGAGTATATATGTAGTGGTTGAAGGTAGAGATTTAGCAGCCAACTGCCTGGGTGTGAAGCTCTGTCAGTGAATTAGCCCTTGGACAAGTCATTTACCCTCCCTCCCAGCAAGCCTGTTTTCTTTAGGTGCATTGAGGTTGACAATAGCAGTAACTATTTACAAGGGCTGATGTGAGGGTTAAATGAGATAATTCATGGGGAAGCCTTTAGCAAGAGCTCATACATGTCAGCAGCAGTAGTTGTTATTACTCTGTAGCCTTCCTAAGAGGGAGGAATTATGATGATAATGAGAATAAACCACTGATTTATAAGTCATTCTGAAGAATGTATACATATTATGTATATACCGAACTAGGTAGTGTTCAGAGAACTGGGAAAAAATGACCACAGAACTTGTATTCTTTGTTTGGAGGAAAAAAAAAGAGCTCATGAAGGAGTTTATATAAATTTATTCTAAGAATCTCAGAGAAAAGGGTTCACCATAAATAGGAAGAAATGCATTTACCATAGGTAGTATAAATACAGAGAAAATGGCTGAGAAATGACTTGAAAAAGCAAACTTGACTCATGGCAGTGATTGAAAGTGGGTTAATTTCATTTCAGGAAAATATCGCCATAGTCACATTAATAATGACCAGTGTATATAGGGTGCTGAAAAGTATGGGTTTGCACTTCCAGAAACCCTGACCAAGGAGATGCTAAAGAGCTGATTTTAACACACATACACACACGTACCACAAGTACAACCACCAAGGGAAGTCTAACCATGGGCAGTGAGAGTGTCCAGGTTTAAGGAAAGGGGCTGGGAAACAATGAAGCTGGGAAAATCCAGCAGGTGCTGGGAGAATAATGCAATTTCCTAGGGCAGCAGATGTACAAGTGAAACAGTATCCAGTAACAGTCCATCAGATGGTAATTATAGCTGGACTGGGGAAGAACAGCCGAGATGAAAAGGGACAATTCAAAGGGTAACTGAATGCCAGTGAGTGACATCTTCCTGAGAGATCACATACCAGGAAAAAGCAGGCCAGCACTTAGCTCTTAGAAGAGGGGTTAAATAAACCGTCATTTTTCCTTGCAGAAGCACAAAGGGAAAGTGAAGGCCTCAAAGAATTCATTAGTTGAGATTTAAACAGACCATCACTAATAAACAACCTCTCCCCCAAAATAACAACAGGCGCAGATCGAAAGTAAGATTCCTCAGGAAAAATGATGAATTGATTTTGTCCCAAAAAATTCTGAAAAAGAGAGAGAGACGTGAGTCCACACTATAATTCTGTGAACACTATAAACCAAGAGGAAGCACTGAAATGAATGGTGGGAGCAGTTATTGAGACTGAAGAAAGGGCAGGAGCTGTTGACGTTCAAAGCAGACTTTCTGGTGTTTAATATGACAAATAAGAGTCACTTTAAATCCTAGCTTTCAAAGGAAATGGTGCCTTGGACCAAACACATTCCCTCCCAAGGGATTCCGCAGGATGGGTCTAACCCAGTGTGGCTGGGTTTCCTCCCGAGTCTGGCTTTCACCGTAGGGGGCTGTGCAGGCCTCTGCCATCCTGGTTTAGTAGCCCGAGCAGTCCCACAGTAAGACTGCCACTAGACTGTAGGCTCCTTGAGGGCAGGGACAGTGTCACAGTCATCTCTGAATCCCTGGAGTGGGGCAGGAAGGAAAAAAACAGGTTTGCACATAGAACCATCTCAAAGTAAGTATGGGTCAACTTGCTCCATAGTCTTTAAATAATATGGTCATTCAATTCATTCAGCCAAATTTTGAGTGTTTTCCTGATCATATCTCTCATGAAAGTGAGCCATGCTGATTCATTTATTAAATGGATTCATTTATTAAAAATTTTCCATCAGAATAATTCTCAGAATATAAATGCACAGGCCAACATGGCCGTTTCAAGCTAAGAAACGAGTCTTCCAGGTCCATCCCACGTGGAGTATGGTCAGGAAAAAGCCCTCGCTCTTATCCATGAAGCTATACTGGTTGACGGTGGAGATATTATGATGAATCTTTGGGGCCTAAGTCCATAAAGTGTGATGAAAATCATTTACATGTTTTCCAGGTCCTTTCTTATGACCTGATATGGGGCAGGCTGTCAATTAATAGAAACGATAGGGAAGGTATTGTGGCAGGGACACCTACCATCCAAACCAGGCAGAAACTACCAGGGCCTTGGGGTGGGGAGGGGGCATATTTCCCTGCCATGCGGTGATGAATTTCAATCACTGCTGGCTGGTGCCAGATTCAAATTGGCAACCCACTGAGATGAAACGCTTCCTATCCCATTCCTCATGCCTGGAGTGATCTGTTGCCTTGAAGACTGGCTTCCTACGTGAAAGCGAGGGAACGGATGGTCACTCTGAGATAGCTTAAATACGATAAAAGGTATGAAAGGCAAGTGCCCAGCAAGAGAAATGTGTGGACATGGTGAGTGAGCTGAGGAGCCTATCTAAAGCTCCATGCAAAGAGGGGATGCAAAACTAAAAGAGAGAAAAAAAGGAATTCATTTAGTAATATCAATCATTCAACTTCATTCAGTTCAAGGGCTGCGATACTATTCGCTCTGCTAAGATGTCAGTGTACCTAGGACTCTAGAAATTACTCCTAAGAAGATTCATATTTGGCTCACCTTGTCTCAGATAATCAGCCTAAAACATTAAATTCATCTAAAATGGTAAAAAGAAAAAATAATTAAAAATAATAAAATGTAGCATTTTAACTTTTGACCATCCAGGCCACCCCATGTGGAGTATGCTCTTGATCAAACTTTTAAGATTTCTAAAATTTTTACTAAATCTTGTTTACTAAATATAAATCTTTACTAAAACCTTCTCAAGAATGAGCACAACAAGTGGCAGGAAAAGCGTTTCTTAAAAAGTACCAGAATTCGCCAATACCACAAACACTACAGCACAGCAGCAGGTACCCTGCCGCAGCCCCACCCATCGGGTAAGGGGTTGTCTTCCTGGACTAGGGATTTAAATAATCCATCCTCTGTTACATCTTGAAGTAAGCCGGGGCTCTGGAGGGACATAGCACACGGAGATGACCACGGGAAAGGTTATTAAATGTAAGCAATGATTTCAACTCATACCAACCTGGGAAGTAATGATAGGATTGTTTTAAATGAAACAAAATGTTTTCTCTGGCTTTCTCCCCACCTGGAGCTCCAGCTCACCTCAACATTGTCCAACTCTGAAGATCCCCAGGGGTGGCGGGGTGGGGGGTGAGAGATGCTCCTGGTGTTCAGAAAAACAGTGCTCTTTGATATCCACATGACAGCTCCGCACTCCTGTCCCCTCCAGCCCCACCACAAATGCCACCAGAGGACTGACTGAAGGCACCGGAGCACGGGCGGCCACTGACGGGTGAGGGCTTCTCCTGGCTCAGTGGTATAGTCGTTCCACACTTGAAGGTGTCTCAGCAGTGGCTGCCAAAGGGCAGCATCTCTCCTCTTACCCTGATCTGACACAGAAGCTGCACCCACATACTTAGCACCCACGGCACCTTCTCTCCCGGGATCAGCATGACTCTACATAGGCTGTGTTTCAGTGACAGACATAGATGAAGCCACCCTCCCTGACCCCAACACACTATCTCTGTGCCATTCACGTGGGTCTTGGCTCTCGTTCCAAATGAGTCCATTTCCAGGATCTCCACAGGCAAACAGAGCACCTGGTGGCCATCCCAAGGGTACTCCAGGGGGCGCGGCACCCTTGTCTCTAGAGTGGACAGAGCGGGAGCTGCCATGCTGTGAGCCCTGCTACCCACGAACACACCTGTGACCCCGGATGAAATGATATGCATTGGGGATTACTTCCAAATGAGAAGGGAGGAAGGGAAGGGGAAATGGACAGGTGTGTAGAAGATCCTGAACGAAAGAGTTGAACATTGTTGAAGCTGAGAGCCGAGTGTGCGGGAGCTTCAGTGCTCTTCAACATGCGGCCCGAGAGAGGTGCCATCTGCAGACTGTCACTGCTCTGTGAAGAGGTGAGTAGAGCAACTGAGAGAAGCATTCAGAAGCTTTTATAGCCAGTGGACAGAGTCATTCAATGTCTGCTAAATTTAGTAATTTTGAATTTTGTCTGTCTTTGTTTTTTAACCTAATTGTTTTAGGAATTCACTTTTCACAAAACTGTCAGTCTATGATGGATTATGTATTAAAAGACAAGGCTCCTCAGCACCGACAGAATGACAAACTGCTTTACATGATTCTCTTTACTTTTGCATATGCTTGATATTTTCCACAGTAAAGAGCCGAGGTGGGGGGAGAATTGCTATTTGTTTTTGGTCTCTACTCAAAAATTTAGAACTTATCAGAAAATAAACACAAGTTTATTTTTTTATTTTACAAATATGTAGATAAATGTAAGACTTACAGTAAGCAGCAGGCTCTAGGACAGGTCCTGGTGTAGGTGGGAGCTGGGGTGGCAGACGATGCGCTTCCCGCGGCACTCAGCTCGGCGTGAGTCGTTTATCGGAGCACTGTATCTAGCTCCAACCAGCAACTTTTTGGCTAAATGTTTGGAGAGTTTAAACTTTCCACTTTCCTCTTTTCTCTCTCACAAAGGACAAATGTCAGCCCACTGAGGGAGTTTTTTCAACCTATTTAAGTGGAAGTGTATACAAACACTACAAGCCTACATGTGAGTCAACTGGACAAAATCACAGTTTTCCAGTTGCTACTGAACTGTGTGTCCATATACACGTACATTTCCACTTAAAGTGAAATCTAGCTTCCATTTTGATCTCTTTTCCTGTTCTGGTAGGTAGAGCAACCAGGGGCCATTCATTTTAAGGTCAAAAGTCCTTGCCATCCCAGGACAGAGAATATGTTCCAATCATCCTGACTCCCCTCAGAGGAGTTAGCAAGCCAGCTGAGGACTTGGGACCCAAACATCTCAAATGCAGCCAGCTTTATTTTCTCCAACACCTTTGTCTGAATCTTGAATGACCACTTTTGCCTTGAAAGTAAAACATCAATGGAAAGGGGGAATCTGCTTTTGAGGAAAGAGAAAGAAAAAAGAAGGTTCTTTTGACTCCAGAGGTTGACTCCAGGCCACTTGTCCTGAGACACAGCAGCACAGGAAGGCGTCCCCAGGGCTCTGCCACCCGAGAGATCACACCGCTTCTGTTTTAGGCTTACTGTGAAATAACCACCTGAGGGAAAGGGCTGCAGGGGAGCCTCCGCAGGGCACCCCTGTAAGGGCATGAGCGCCAGGCTCCCTGTAATTAAGAAGCAGCCTGCTCCCTCGAAGACAGTGCTGCCACCCCATCTGCCACGCCCGCAAGAGCTGGCACCGCGCCTCCCTGCCTGCTGCCGCCCGGCTACCCACCGGCTCCTTGGAGACCGCCTTTGATGGAGCATTGATGCCAAGCTTTTCCAGGGGATAGACAATCTGTCGTCGTGGTCGCACGGGAACCAAGCAATGAAGGGCGGATGTCAGGGAGTGGGCGTAGGAGCTCTGGAACTGAAAGACAGCAATCTCTATTTTAGGGGAGAGAACGTCAGAGCGCGCAGCAGCACAGATGCCTGCATGCAGCTTTACAAATACAAAATTCTGAACTCGGCCAGACCGGGAGAGGGGAAAAATCAGCAAATAAACAAACATACTCTTTGAGCAGAGGAATGAATTGTAGATAATGCCTGACACTAATGAAGATAATTAGGAGAGTAATTACATTACTATCTCTGTGGGAATGACAGATAAACAAGTGGTTTGGTTTATGGGATTTTTCAGTACGAGTATTTTCCCCAGGAGGATATTCTTCTCCATAGTGATCATGAATCAGCTTGATTTGACCCCATTAAGCTGTGTTATCTGCGTCCTGTTAACCTTTGTGTGTTTGGCACAAGCTGCTTTAAGACAGTGCATAGATAAAAATGTCATCTGAGGGGCAACTGAGTGCAGACGTGAAAATCCTTCTGTCTGTGAAAGTCACAGCTACTTCAACTGGACCTCTGTTGATAAAATAAGTGTTTTAAAACAAAAGGATGAAACTCGAAAGTGGGGGTGGGGTGGGGGAATTGGATCGTATTATTTTGACTTATATTAATACTAAATTATGAGCTGGATTTATGCTTACTGAAATGGAGTATGATAAATCATGTTTTAGGAGAATGCTTTAAATATTAATTTTACTCAATTTTTAAAACTTGGCACAGAAAATTGAACACAGTGATCTTCATTTCTTTCACATTTATGAAATTGTAGGGGTTTTGATGAAACCAACTCAGGATATATTTCAACCGTTTAAACCTTAAGAGCTAAACTGTGAAACCAAAATTTTTAATATATTTATTGAATTTAAGCTGGAAAGCAAAGAAAGCAAAACGGATCTGTGGGCGTAATTTGATAAAAAGATGGTTTACATATGACTTATTTGCTGTTCTTAAAATAGCCCCTGGGCATTTCTAAGAGCTTCTAAAAGGCATTTCTAAAATCTTTTGCCATTGAACTTCACATCCTGATTTTACACACTGAAAGACAGAACCCAGGAAATCCTAGCCAGAGCTCTGTTTTATGCCTGGACGACCTCTCAGGATGCGCTCTGACTGGAGGGTGTGGAGAAAACCACCCTCATTATGTGAGCCAAAAGCTCACTCTTATTACAATAAACCAAAGATTTATAGCAGAATTTGGAAATTCTTATCTAAATTATTTGGTACTGCTTCTTACACTTGTTTAGATGAGTATGTGTAAATCAACTGGAAAGGCAGACTGAGAAGAAATTTGTTTCCAAATCTGTTTCTATATCCTACATAAAATAGTGCATAACATATTCCAAATTCTAGAATTGAGGAAAATATGTAACATTTGATGAAATGTCCGAGATATTATTTTTTATTATGGATGCAAAAGGACATTCTACCAACTTGGCACATGCAGGCAACATCATGAATAAAAACTAAGAATTTAATATCACATCCTGAAGGTCACCAAATTGGCACTTGGCCAAATGCAAAGTAAAAAGAAATTGTGCAGGACCAGGATTTTCAGCAAAACAGTTACCTTCCCATCTCATTAAGTTCAAATCTTGGGCATTCACACTGCTGCATTTTGATAGGAAAAAAATGGTCACTAGCACATATTCTGCATCTTGCTAAAAATATTTTCCATGCATTTTCTTCTTTCTTCCCCATTTCCCCTGTACATCTCCAAAAGGCTTTTGTTAAATAAGATTCATTGGTAAAATTGCTGTTATGTGTATGTACTAATATACTTTAGAGTGGTTTTAAGTTTAATAATAAGATCATTTTAAAAATCTACTTAGCTCACTTGTGGTAACTAGGAAGAAATGTGACAATGTCAAAGACCCCAGGCAGAGCATGGGAAAGTTTTCAATCATGAATGGGATCTGATCGGACAACTTCTACCCAGCCTAGTGGTTGGCTCTCATCACCCCGCGAGTCTACATCAAGCTAAGGAGCAAGGCTGTCAGTGACAGAGGGTCCAACTTGCAGGAAATGACACCCTAGGAATGCAACTTGAAGAGGTCCTTGCCTGTGGAACAACCAAGACACTGTATATGAGTGTGTGTGTGTGAGGCAGATGTGTGTGACTCTTCTAGGCATTTGGAACACAGCTTTGAGCAAGACAGAAAAACACCTCTGCTTACATGGCAAAATATATAATTTTAGCTGGTGAAAGTGCTATGAAGAAGACTAAAGCAGGACAAATGAAAGCAAGACGAAGAGCTTGCTATTTCTGCATGCACATTACATAACGTATGCGTGTTAGATATGTGTTTACTGCAAAAGTATTACTTACTTAAGTATATCAAGTATTATGCAGAGTGACATAGGTCTTTTTTTTTTTTTTTTTAAAGATTTTATTTTTTCCTTTTTCTCCCCAAAGCCCCCCGGTACATAGTTGTATATTCTTCGTTGTGGGTTCTTCTAGTTGTGGTATGTGGGACGCTGCCTCAGCGTGGTTTGATGAGCAGCGCCATGTCCGCGCCCAGGATTCGAACCAATGAAACACTGGGCCGCCTGCAGCGGAGCGCGCGAACTTAACCGCTGGGCCACGGGGCCAGCCCCCACCATAGGTCTTTACTGCACAAAGGTTACACGAGGATCACGTATCTCCACTTTTTACCCATCACTTTTATGTGGATGGTTATAGTACTTACTTGGAACGCCATGACTGCACACCAATCTTAGAGGGTTGAACTCATTTATTCTATGGGTTCACTACTAAAATGTTCTTTGCTTGAAGAACATGATAAGATCATTCTTTCATTTCATTAGTGCACCATAAGAAATAATTTGATTTTCATGTGCCTTAGAGTATTCCTGCCTAGATTTCAGTCTCTGTTTTGTCAATATAGAAAAGCCAACAAATTGTTCTACTAATTATATTGGTTGTGATTGTTTCAGAAATTGAAAGCCTTCTGAACTTTCACTGCAGTGTAAGAAAAGGGCCAAACTCAATATGGCATGTGAAATTCAGAGCCATGTTATAATCAAAGTCCATCGAGTGAGGAAGGAACAAAATACGGCACACAACATGAATGACACCGCGAATGTCGATCTGCTGGAAAAGTGAATTAATGATGTTCTTTTACCTTGCCTTCCCTGGACTGCGGGTAAATAGGGTAGTAGAGACAGGACTTATAGCCTAACCGAAGGATCTCCTTCAGAAAAAACTTGGTGTAGTGCCGGAAAATGGGGTTCAGGGCAAAGTGATACAAGTGCCCGTGCTCTTCGCGCTGGTGGTGACTGAAGTAGATGAAGTCTTCGATGTTGTAATGCGATCGTATGTACTCCACATCCTGAAAAAGAGGCGGGGAAAGGACATCCAAGAATGTTTTAAACAAATGGCATGCATTTTTTGAGAAATATCTTTTAAAAACTACTTTACGTACAATAGCAAGAAATGTGTTTTTCTCTCTTGTTATATACTACCTCATTTTCACTGTTAATTTTTTAAAAGTTAAAAGTTATGTTTCCTGAAAGTCACCTGTGTCTGATGGCTTGTCTCTGGAGGATGGCTACATAGCTTTGGAATTGCTCCTTACAGCCATGCCTGCCAACAATTCAGAGAGCCTTGAGTCTTGCTAGTGGCCAGGCGGCAGGACAGCAGCTCTTTACTGCTGTTGGGCAAGGGAGCACCAGCTGGTCAGCACGACAGACCAAGCGTGTGCAAAATTCAGGAGCGGGAAAACACCCACCAGTTCTCTGGAGCCGTCACTATCCTCTAGTCACCTATTAACGTGGAAAGCTGCCCTCCCACAAGTCACGCATTTTGACCTGCACACGTGGTTGGGTTGGCCTGTAATAAAACTGGGAGGTTGGGCCTTATCTGTAAGCATTCCTTAAACTTTTTATGCCTGTGAGATATTACATTTTTACATGGAGGAAGGTAATTTAAAGGACTGGTATTTCTTTGTAAAAGGAAATAATGGGCACCCTGCCCCTATTTCTATGGGCCTGGTTCTATCACCATCTTTTGTCCCCGACATCAGGGGGAGGGAGCCAGGGCCTCCCCCGCGCTAACTGTGCACTGGGTCAGCCTGTCCTGCTTCTCCTCCCAGCATGCACCCTGTGGGGGTGGGGGCACTCTCCAGAGTCAGTGTGTCTCTCTCTCATGACAGGAGCAGTAAACACACCTGATACGCAGGAAAAAATCAAACCACATGCACATTGGAAAGCACCTATTTATATTTCTTCTTAATTTTCACAGTAAAATTGCCCTAAAAGCACACTTTCAAGAAGAGGAATTAGGGAATGCAAGGAACTTGATGTGCCCTGTAATTGGCAAAGCTGGGACTAGAAAATTCAGGAAAACTGTGAAGTCTGTGTCCATGCCCCCATGGTTCATTGTCTTTCCAGCTTTTACCACAAAGCACATAGGAAATGGGGCTCAGGGTAACCAGACCAGTGGTGGTACCTGAGGGCAATTCTGGCAATGTCTGACCTTTTCTCTGCACTGACCCTAAGACTGCCTTTACACCCTAAGACTTTTCTTTAATTACCAAGGAGGCATCCCTCATTATAAAATAAAATGAGTAACAAACGTAGGGCTGAGAAATCATAGAAAAACAAAGAGCCAACAGAGGTTATTAGCTCAAAACAGCAGATGGGCCATGTGCATCTAATTCTCCTCCCATCCCAAATCACTTAAAATAACAACCAAAATTTATTTTTTAAATAATGAGTGGGAGTGATGGGGAATGGAAGAGTAAGGCAGACTTACCTTGGAAGGAAAAATACCAAGTCCTCTATCACTAAGCTAAACCTTCCTACTTTGGGCCACTCAAACTGAGAGTCCCTGTCTACTGCCAGCCAGGCCTCCATTTGAGCACCACGAGGGGAAGCCAGATGACTGATGCTCCCTCCCAACTAGACAGAGGGGTGGGCAGCCCTCCCAGAGACTGGAGAGATGCAACGGAGAAGCAGATACGCACAACTGTCAAGGATACCCATGCCAGCCAGCCATACTGATAATTTAATCTTTCATTCATGACAAGGACAGACTTTTGGGGAAAACTGACAAATGCAAAAGACCAGAATAGAGAAACATACAACTTACTCCAGAGGAAACAGAGTATCCAGGGAATAGAAGAGAATTTTTTAAAAATTTTACTCACTGTCCTCAGAGATACTTAGAAGGATCTTGCATATAGTATAACAAACAAGCTGCTACACAAAAAGGAGCAATAAGAAAACAAGGATGAGACTTGGAAGTTAAATATATGAACCCTGGAATTTAAATTCCAATAGAAGGCCTGGATAATAGAATAGACTAGGCTGAACACTGAATTAGGAATCCAGAAGACAAATCAAGGAAAGCCCCTAGAATAAAGAGTAAGAAGTACAAGAGATTAAAAAATATGAGAAGAAAGATAAGAGATAGTGAAGGATCAATTCCAAAGGTCCAATATCCACCTAAAAAGGAATTCAAGAAGAGGAGAATAGAGGAAATGAAAGGGAAGAAGTAATTATTGAAAACAGAGAAGAAAGATGTTCCTAAGCTCTAAAGAGGCATAAGACACTCCTCAGTAAAATTTCAGAATTTCAGGGATAAAAAGAAAAAACTAATTTTCAAGAAAGAAAGAAAACAAAGATACATCAGATTATATTTTATGGGTGACATTGGATACTGGAAGACAATGAGAGTAAACACATCGACATTCTGATGAGAAACAATTTGAGCAAGAATTCTATACACAGCCAAATGAGTATTCAAGTGTGAGAACATAATGAAAACTTCTTGGATATGTATGGATTCAGAGATCCTACCACCTATCACTCTCTCTAAAAGAATTATTCAAAGATATATTGAATCAAAAGAGAAATGAATCCAAGAAGGAGGATAGTTTGAATACATTAGAGGAATAAAACCATATGAACATCTCAATAAATGCCAAAAACACATTTGGTAAAATTCAACACTCATTCATAATAGAAACTATTAGTAAACTAGAAATAGGAGGGAATTTCCTTAACTTGATAAAGCATGCCTTCTAAAAAAGTACAGCAAAATGGGGCTGGCCCCGTGGCTGAGTGGTTAAGTTCACGCGTTCCGCTGCAGGCGGCCCAGTGTTTCGTTAGTTCGAATCCTGGGCGCGGACATGGCACTGCTCATCAGACCACGCTGAGGCAGCGTCCCACATGCCACAACTAGAAGAACCCACAACGAAGAATACACAACTATGTACCGGGGGGCTTTGGGGAGAAAAAGGAAAAAATAAAATCTTTAAAAAAAAAAAAAAGCACAGCAAATATTATATTAAATGGAGGAAAGTCTAGAATCATTCATAAAATCAGGAACACCACAAAAGCACCTGTTACAAACACTACTATTCAATGTTATTCTAAACATACAATAAAATTGGAAAATATAAGTATAAATTTTTACTTATTTGTTTATTTTTTGCTGAAGAAGATTAGCCCTGAGCTAACACCTGTGCCAATCTTCCTCCACTTTGTATATGGGTTGCCACTACAGCGTGGCTGACGAGTCGTGCATGTCCGCACCCAGGATGGAACCCATGAACCTGGGCTGCCAAAGGGGAGCAGGCTGAACTTAACCTCTATGCCACGGGGCAGCCCCATAAATATTTTTAAAAGAAAGTTCAGCAGATTCTATTTTCCAAAAAGATGGCCATGACAGTAATTCACATGTCACATGCTCTTCTGCAGAGTGAGCTAGCTACACTCCCATCAAGAGGTAGAGTCTATTTCTCCATCCCTGGAATCTGAGCATGCCCTGTAACTGTTTTAACCAATAAAATATGGTTATAAGTGACACTGTACCACAAAAGAGAATCAACTGACAAACTCTCAGAGCTAATAAGACACTTCAAAAAGGTGGTTGGGTACAAGATCACAGTACAAAAATGAGTAGTTTTCCCATACACCAAAATAAACATTTAAAACATACAATGAAAAAAAGTATTTATTCACAATACCCAGAAAAATATAAAACATGTAGAAATAAATCATAAATGTCCAGGACTGTATCAGTCAGAGTCTCAGCAGGAAACAGATGGTATGTTCAAATCAGGGTAATTGGAGGTGGGTGTAACAAAGGGACTATTTACAAGGAGGGGGCGTGGGCAGGGAAACCAATAGGGAAAGCATAGCAGCAACTGCAAGCTATTACCACCCTAGGTGGGTGGCATGGGAGGTCCTGGTTACCAGAATCCAAAAAAAACGGTCCTGGAGAAGAAGCCACCTTGAAAAGGTGAGGGAATTCACTGGGGAGATGAGCCAGCTCGAGGCATCCCATTCTCACTCCTCCCGCCCTCTCATCAGGGCTCCCCATTGGCCAAACCCAATCAGAAGCTGAAGGGTAAAGGCACTCGTGATGCTACCCACCAGCTCAGGCTCCCTGGGACAGAACAGGGCAGAGGATGAACCTGTGGGGCGAACAAAGCATCCGGCACAAAAAACTTGTAAGAAAGAAGCCCCAAAACTTTTCTGAAGAACCCAAAAGGATTCAACAATGACAAGATAGGAAGCCATGCTCCTAGAGGGAAAGTCTTAATATTTTAATTGTCATTTCTGCCTAACCTGTTCTATAAAATCCACATAGGAGCAAATAAATTCATAGCAGTACAAGGTTTATCAGGAAGAGGAAATATCTAAGTAAACCAAGAAAATTTAGAAAAGACAAATGAGAGAAGACTCTCCTACCAGATACCAAAGCACATGATAAGGCAACAGATATCAATAAATAAATCCATGGCACAGAATAGAGAGGAAAAATAGACACAGACACATGGAAATCTAATAATGGAAAGATGACATTTTAAATCAGTAGGGAAAGAATGGACTACTCAGTGACAAATACGTAGGAATAACTGGCTATACATTGGGAAAAAAAAATTAGATGTCCACTTGACAACATACACATACATACAAGATGCATGTAATTAAGTGCAAGGAAGAACACTGGAAGGAATAAATGTCTAACTGTTAATAGTAGGAATCCTCTGGGGAGAGCAGTGGAACTTTTGTTTTTGCTGATGGTAAAAGCTTACTTGAATTTTTAGAATATGAATGTTTTTATGTATTTTTATAATATTTTAAACATTTTGAACTGAAAAAAATAGAGAATTGAAAAGCCGCCAAGTGGGATGCAAACGGATGATGATTTATATCCTTCAGAAAAAGGAAGCATTCATATTAAATAAATAAAAATGAAACTTCAAAAGAGGCATTACATGCTAATTCATGATATAAAAAGACACAATTAAGGAAACTAATATCCATTTCACAATTTACCATTTCATTTCTGATCACTGCAATGCCAACTACTTGTTCTGCAACTTCAGCTACAAATGCCTGCAGTGGTGTCCCATCCTGAAAAGATAAGCATAAATTTTTAGACCCTTAAAAATATCACTATCAATGTTCCTGTAAGCAGTCAACATGGATTTTACCCATGATCCCATAATGACAGTGATAGTCAAAACCAACATCTATCAACACTTCCCTATGGACCAGGTAGGAAGTTAAATGCCCTCCTCGTGTTCATTTAACCCTCACTCCACCTCCAAGAGGTAAGGAGAATCAGTACCTCTATTCTATTCACAGGAAAATAGGCTCGGGAGGCTGAGTAACACGCCAAGATCTTCAGCTAGTAAGGGATGGATCTGTGATTCACACTATGGTCCCTTTGACTCAGAATCTGTTTTCTTTAGCTCTACATCAGTGGTTCTCAAATCTTGTGATCTCAGGACCCCTATGCCCTGAGGATTCCAAAGAGCTTTGGTTTACGTATGTAATATCTATCACTATTTTCTATATTAGAAATTAAAACAGAGAAAATTACGAATTTGTTTATTAACTTTTGTTTAACTTATTAATTGAATAAATTTTAAAATTTGACAAAAATATTTAGAGAGCAGAGTAGCATTGTTTTATATTTTTGCAAATCTTTTTAATGTCTGGCTTAATGGAAGACAGTTGGATGCTCATATCAGCTTCCGCCTTCAATCTGCTGCAATAGGTTATTTTGGTTGAAGTATAAGAAAAAAAATCTGTCTTCACAAAGATACATAGTTGGAAAACAGGGAAGTATTTAAATAATCTTTTTAGATAATTATGGATATACTTCTTTGCTGCTACACCAAAACTCAACAAGTGGGAGTGTTTTAACGATTAGTTGCAACATGGAATCTGAAACCACATCAGTGAACTTCCTATATATCACTACCTTAAAATTCACTGGTCTATTTTGCACTTTGAATGACTCTTTTACCTATGCATGGTTTTGTAACATCATGTATTATTTATCCGGAAAATAATGACTCACCAACCTTATGCAAACTTTTCCAAAGGTTGACCTACTTCATTACAAAATATCAAAACATTACATTTGGTAATATCACCACCAGTCTCATCAGAAAAAGTCTTTTAAGTATCGGGAAGCTGTCAAGTTCATGTGAAAAGATACTAATTTTCCAAAATTCTAATTTTTTCTTGAAAGCTTGGATTTTATCATAGGGGACAAATGCTGTCCATTGTTTTCTTCTTTTTTTTCATTTTTTTGGTCAGTAAGATTGTCCCTGAGCTAACATCCGTGCCACTCTTCCTCTAATTTGCATGTGGAACGCTGCCACAGCATGGCCTGATGAGCAGTGTGTAGGTCCAGGCCTGGGATCTGAACCCACAAAGCCCAGGCTGCCAAAGTGGAGCACATGAATGTAACCACTGCACCACTGGGCCAGTTCCTGTCCATTGTTTTCTTAGAGTTAAAGGCTCACCTCTTTCATTCATTCATTCATTTTTAAGAAAATGTTTGCCAACTACCCAAGACTGAATAATCATACTTTGTCTGCCAGCTGTTCTTTCAAGTAAAAATGGTGTTTCATGAAAACACATGAAAGTGGCTGATTGAGAATGCAACTCAAACAACTACAAAAATGCTCTTTCTTGAAACAACCAACATAATTGAGCCTGCAGCAGAGGAGCTGTACGTGTACTTCTTATTTTGCCACACAGAACACTGAAAATACATGTACGCAAGGATAGAGATCTAATAAAGTTGATAATGTTTCCTGCTTCATGTGATACCAGCTTTCCCCTTTCTTTTTTAAATTCATGAGATAGTTGTAGATTCACAGGCAGTTGTAAGAAAATATACAGAGAGATGCCTTGTACACTTTGCCCAGTATCCCTGAATGGAAACATTCTGTAAAACTCTACCATAATATGACAAGCAAGGAATGCACAGTGATGTGATTGTGTGTGTGTGTGTAAGTTCTACACAAATTTATCCATGACCACAGTCAAGATATTGAACAGTTCCAACACAAAGATCTCTTGAGTTGCCTGTTATAATCACACCCATCGGCCCCCGCCCTCCTCCTGTTCTTAACCCATGGCAACAAATGATCTGTTCTCTATTTCTAAAACTTTGTCATTTCAAAAACATCACATAAGTGGAGTCATACAGTATGTAACTTTTAAGAATTGGCCTTTTTTCCACTTGGCATAATTCTCTGGAAATCATCCAAGTTGATGCCTGTATCAACAGTTCAGTCCTTTGTATTGCTGGGTCCTGTTTCACGGCATGGATGGGCCACAGGGTGCTTACTCATTCACCTGCTGAAGGACATTTGGGCCGATTCCAGCTGCTATGAACATTCGTGTACAAGTCTTTACTTCTTTGAGATAAATGCCCAGGAGTACAATTGCTAGGTCATATGATAGCTGCATTTTTAGTTTTATTTTATTTTATTTTTATTGAGGTAATAATAGTTTACAACATTGAGAAATTTCAGTTATACATTATTATTTGTCAATCACCACATAAATGCGCCCCTTCACCCTTTGTGCTCACCCCCAACACATCTTCCCCCAGTAACCACTGAACTGTTCCCTCTGTCCGTGTGTGTGTTTATCTTCCACATATGAGTGAGATCATATGGTGTTTGTCTTTCTCTGTCTGGCTTATTTTGCTTAACATAATACCCCCCAGGTCTATCCATGTCGTTGCAAATGGGGCAATTTTGTCTTTTTTTTTTTTTAAAAAAAAAGATTTTATTTTTTCCTTTTTTCTCCCCAACCCGCCCCCCCCCCCCCACCCACCCCCCAAGTACATAGTTGTATATTCTTTGTTGTGGGTCCTTCTAGTTGTGGCATGTGGGATGCTGCCTCAGCGTGGTTTGATGAGCAGTGCCATGTCCACGACCAGGATTCGAACCAACGAAACACTGGGCCGCCTGCAGTGGAGCACGCGAACTTAACCACTCGGCCACGGGGCCAGCCCCCAATTTTGTCTTTTTACGGTGAGTAGTATTCCATCGTATATATATATAGACACCACATCTCCTTCATCCAGTCATCAGTTGATGGGCACTTGGGCTGCTTCTACATCTTGCCTATTGTGAATAATGCTGCAATGAACGTAAGGGTGCATAAGTCTCTTTGAGTTGTTGATTTCAAGTTCTTTAGATAAATATCCAGTAGTGGGATAGCTGGGTCATACGGTATTTCTATTTTTAATTTTTTGAGGAATCTCCATACTGTTTTCCATAGTGGTTGCACCAGTTTGCATTCCCACTAGCAGTGTGTGAGGGTTCCCTTTTCTCCTCAACTTTTCCAACATTTGTTATTTTTTGTCTTGGTGATTATAGCCATTCTAGCAGATGTAAGGTGATGTCTTAGTGTAGTTTTGATTTGCATTCCCTGGTGATTAGTGATGTTGAACATCTTTTCATGTGACTATTTCCCATCTGTATTTCTTCTTTGGAGATATGTCTGTTCATATCCTCTGCCCATTTTTTGATTGGGTTGTTTGTTTTTGTGTTGTTCAGTTGTGTGAGTTCTTTACATATTATGGAGATTAACCCCTTGTCGGATATATGATTTGCAAATATTTTCTCCTTTGGTGGATTATCTTTTTGTTTTGATCCTAGTTTCCTTTGCCTTGCAAAAGCTCTTTAGTCTGATGAAGTCCCACTTGTTTATTTTTTCTTTTGTTTCCCTTGGCCAAGTAGACATGGTTTTCAAAAAGATACTTTTAAGATGGATGTCAAAGAGCATACTGCCTATATTTTCTTCTAGAAGTTTTATGGTTTGAGGTCTTACCTTCAAGTCTTTGATCCATTTTGAGTTTATTTTTGTGTACGGCAAAAGATAACGGTCTACTTTCATTCTTTTGCATGTGGCTGTCCGGTTTTTCCAACACCATTTATTGAAGACAATTTCTTTTCTCCATTGCATGTTCTTAGCACCTTTGTCGAAGATTATCTGTCCATAGATGTGTGGTTTTATTTCTGGACTTTCAATTCTGTCCCATTGATCTGTGTGTCTGTTTTTACCAGTACCATGCTGTTTTGATTACTATAGCTTTGTAGTATATTTTTAAGTCAGGGATTGTGATGTCTCCAGCTTTGTTCTTTTTTCTCAGGATTGCTTTAGCTAATTGGGGTCTTCTGTTGCCCCATATGACTTTTAGGATTCTTTGTTCTATTTCTGTGAAGAATGTAACTGGGATTCTGATTGGGATTGCACTGAATCTGTAGATTGCTTTGTGTAGTATGGACATTTTAACTATGTTTATTCTTCCAATACATGTGCATGGAAGGTCTTTCCATCTCTTTATGTCATCAGCAATTTCTCTCAGTAATGTCTTACAGTTTTCATTGAATAGGTCTTTCACCTTCTTGGTTAAATTTATACCTAAATATCTAATTCTTTTTGTTGTGATTGTAAATGAGATTGTATTCTTGAGTTCTCTGTTCGCTCGTTATGAGAGTATAGAAATGCAACTTATTTTTGTAAGTTGAGTTTGTACCCTGCAATTTTGCTGTAGTTGTTGATTATTTCTAGTAGTTTTTTAATGCATTCTTTAAGTTTTCTATATATAATAAAATCATGTTGTCTGCAAACAGCGAGAGTTTCTCTTCTTCATATCCTATTTGGATTCTTCTTATTTCTTTCTCTTGCCTAATTGCTCTGGCCAAAACCTCCAGTACTATGTTGAATAAGAGTGATGAGAGTGGGCACCTTGTCTTGTTCCTGTTCTCAGAGGGATGGCTTTCAGTTTTTCCCCATTGACTATGATGTTGGCTGTGGGTTTGTCATATATGGCCTTTATTAAATTTTTAGTTTTCTTAAGAAACAGCCAAAATGTTTTCCAGAGCAGCCGTACCATTTTACATTCCCACCAGCAACATACGAGTGATCCGATTTCCCTGAATCCTTGCCAGCATTTAGTGGTGGCACCCTTTTTGTTTTAGATATTCTATTTGGTGTGCAGTGATATTCCACTGTGGGTTTTCTTTTCCTGTTGCTACTGTGAGTGCATTGCAGGAAGAACTTGATGACCACTGGGAAGTTTGGTGCCACTGCTTTGATCCACACTGAGCCTCCCAAGGTTTTGCTCACCATTGCCTTTTACCATCAGTGCAAATATCAATACAGTGGAAAAGGAAAATAATTTCTTACTCTTTTATGAAAATAATTTTTACCTCACAGACCTCCTGAAAATTCATATCTCAGAGACCCCTGGGGTTCCTTAGACCACACTTTGAGAACCAGGGCACTACATCATACTACATGGTTGGCAAGCCAGGAGGGAAGGAACAAAAAATGAAGAAACAGAGACTAAAACAAAACAAAACAAAAACATATGCTGGAGAAAGTTTTATTTTACTTCAATGTCTTTACAAACATTAAATGTTTCACTACGTTTGTGTTTGGGGTCTCCCTCTTGATGACTTAAAAATTAACTAAAAGATTTATTCAAAAGAGCCAATAACTGGGAACTCCCCAAATGTCCTTAACAGTAGGATGAAGAAATAAATTGTGGCATATGCATGCAATGAAATACTTTACACCATGATATGGGTGAATCTCACAAACATTGCTGAGCAAAAGAAGCCTGGTATCAGAAAACACTGTGTATGATTTCCTTTAAATAAGATTCAAAAGAAGGCATAACTAATCTATGATCTTAGTAGTCAAGGCAGTATTAACCTTGGGGTAAAGTGACGGAAAGGGAGCATGAGGGGGACTTCTAGCTGGCTGGGGTTAGTCCATTTCCTGAAGCAGGTGCTCATTACATGGTACATTCAAATTGTGAAATCCATCAAACTGTTTATCGGTTATACTTCTATGAAGATTTTTTAAATAAAATTTATCAAAAAAAGTAACTAAGCAGGGGCTGGCCCCATGGCCGAGTGGTTAAGTTCGTGCGCTCCGCTGCAGGCGGCCCAGTGTTTCGTTGGTTCGTATCCTGGTCGTGGACATGGCACTGCTCATCAAACCATGCTGAGGCAGCATCCCACATGCCACAACTAGAAGGACCCACAACAAAGAATATACAACTATGTACTGGGGCGGGGGGGTTTGGGGAGAAAAAGGAAAAAAAAAATCTTAAAAAAAAAAGTAACTAAGCATTTCTCTAACTACATGCATTATTTCACATCTGATTATGTTAACTGGCATGGTCCTTAAGAAAGCAGTGTTAATGTAAGGACCTCTGCTAGCTTGCCCTGTGCCATGGCAAAAGTACAGTATAGTTACTATACTAGAAAGAGAACAGGATCTTCTCCAGCCCACGCCATCCTTGAGGATGCAGCCAGCTCAACAACAAGATATGGACACACTCATCATCCAGTAGGGTGGAAATGGGGTGCCATGCCCTAAATCTGATATCCAGTGCTGCTGGAGTGGGCACGAGGCACCCACAGATTCCTGAGCTACCGTTCACTAACCTAGGTCAGATTTGCCTCTTCCAAATGCTGGGATCTATCTTGTTTCATGACACTTGTTTGGATCAAGTCCAAATTTTCCATCCTCGTGATAAGGATTTAGATTATCTGATCAGCCCCTTCGGGCCCCCAGTGAGGAGAACAGCCTCACTTCCTTAAACCTCAGTTCCCTTGTTTTTCTCCTCTTGCTCCCATCTTCCAAGCCCACCACTGCCACTTCCCAGCACGTGATTCTTCAAGTGAGGTCCAAGGAAACTTCAGAGTTGAACCTACATGGGTCATAACAGTCCCATGGCGTGAGGAAAAGAAAGCCCGTCTGGTCATAGCAGGTACTTACAGGGTCTCTGTGAGCCTTGTTGTATTGTTTTAAATCCTCCAGTATGCTCTTACTCAGCATCAGGGTGCTGACGAGATTTTCAACACCAGGAGTATCCGAGAAAGTGGCAAATCTTATATTAATGGACCTGGGTAAGGAGAGAGACATATTTTTTAGGTTAAGGTACTAAAATATGTATTCCCTCCCAAAAATGGAGACAAAATTGTAACATATCGCACTTATATAAAATAGTATCCTAACTACAAAAGTAACTCATTTCATTCTAGAGAACCTAGAAAACACATGTAAAAAAAGTGCAAAGAATAAGGTAAAAATCACTGATAATTCCATTAACCAGAGACAACACAGAGTTACACTCTAAATTCATTTAATTTAAAATGTTCAGTACCATGCCTTGTTTTATATTTACCTCATACATAAAGGCAAATTCTTCCCCCAAATTTTAAAGTATGTTAAGGAGTTAAGAAAATACCTTGAACCTCGGCTGGCTTCATGAGTCTTTAAAATCCTTAATAATTTTATCTTTGATTTTGTGTTTTTACATAAAGTTAAGTTGGACAATGGAGCAAGGCCAGTGGCTTGGAGCCTTGGCTCACAGATAGTACTCACCTCCCACCATTAATCCATGGTGGGTTCTCTCCCATCTGTTCCCTGCCCCTGGCACGTTGGGCCCCAAGAGGCCTCCCCATCCTTGCCCCATGACTGCTGCTGACCTCTGCCAGGGGCGACAACTGGGTTGCACTCGTAAGGGGAGGCCCACGTTTAGCCATCATGCTCCACCTTCAGTGGGGTCCTGGACACGGGCACAGGGAGGGTCAGGGGTCAGGCACCTGCCTCATGGAGTCTCTAGTCAGAGCAAGGTGGTAGATATCCCCACCTGGGGCAGGCAGTGACATGGTGTGTTTGGCAATTCGCTGTGAACCTCTTGCTCACCCCCATCCAGTTATTGAGAGCATCCCAGTGCAGAGGTTGCAAGCCATTGGAAGATGCCTGTTTGCCATGGGTTGGAGTGGTGGGTCCATGGGAAGGAGAGATGACTTCCTCATCTTAGGCTAGACCCCCACATTTTCATTCTGTAATGGGTTCTGCATATTATGTAGCTGGCCTTGCATTGAATGCTCTCCGGTCATTAGGGCATTATTACTAAATAGAACTGATAAATTATTAAATTTATTGCTAAACAGGTATTAATACTCAATAGGCTACTCTTCCTAATATAAGTAAAGTAAAATACCTACTTTCTATTGTAGTGAATATTTGTGCTTAAATTTTAAGGCATGCTTCTATACTATGGACAAAGCGGCATATTCGCAAAGAACAACCTACATCTATAATTAATTGGTATAAAGATTATCAATTAATACCACCTTAATAATATTTATGAGCAATTTTTAAGTAAATGGTAAGAACTTGGTTCTGATATGGCCATCTTACACCAACATCTGATAGTTTGGATGGATTAAAGATATAAATGTAAAAAACAAGACCACAAAAGTACTAGGAAAATACCCAAGGGAATTAAGAATATAAGCCCACACAAAACCTTGTACGTGAATGTTCACAGTAGCAATATTCATAATAGCCCCAAAGGCGGAAAGAACCCAAATGTCCATCAACTCTGAACAGATAAACAAAATGTGGTCTACCCACACAATGGAATATTATTCAGCCCTAAAAGGGAATGAAGCACTGATACATGCCACAACATGGGCAAACCTTGAAAACAGTACACTAAGTGAAAGAAGCCACATACAAAAGGGCACATATTGTATAATTCAGTGATATGAAATGTCCACAATAGGCGAATTTATAGAGACAGAAAGTAACATAGCTGCTGCCAGGGGCTGTGGGGAGGAGGGAAAAGGAGTGACTTCTTAATGGGTATGGGGTACCCTATCGGGTGATGAAAATGTTTAGGAACCAGAAAGAGGTGATGGTTGTACAACATTGTGAATGTACTAAAAACCATTGAATTGTACACTTTAAGTGGGTGATTGTATGGTATGTGAATTATATCTCAACGAAGCTGTTACCAAAAAGTATATGATACCAAAGCAAGTTGAAAGGAAAAGGAAAGAGGAATGGCAACTAAAAGCCAAAAAATAAGCTGGTGTAGCAATATAAATAACGGATAAACTAGACCTCAAGGCAAAAGCATTAGGAGGCAAATAAGTCTCTATTTAATAACAAAAGTAAAAATATTGTATGTCAATTATATCTCAACAAAAAAAGGAGTTACTATGTAGAGTATATATCTTCATTTTGACTCATCAAATGACTATCAATATATATTCTAAATATCAATTATATATTTATTGAAAAAATTCACTAGGAAGATATGGCAGTATCAAATCTGTAGGGATCTAAAAATATAGCTTCAGAATATTGAATAAAAGTTCACAGAATTATGACGATTTGACCAATATCCGTAAAGTTTAATACACCTCTCTCAGAAACTGATATCAGACAAAAGGCTCGATCCTGCATCTCCCAAATGAAAACACTTGGCTATCTAACAGTCCTCTCAATCTTAGCATTCCAAAGCCCTCCACCAGCCCTCTCTCCCATCTTAGTTAATGGCAACTCCATCCTTTCAGTGGTCCAGGCCCAAACCCTTGGCTTCATCTTGGCTCTCTTTCTCACAGGCCTCACTTCCAGCCCAGCAGCACATCCAGTTGGTTCTCCCTTTGAAATGCATCCAGAATCCAAGTACTCCTCAGGACCTCCAGTGCTGGCCCCAGCACCACCACCTCTTGCCTGAGTTATTGCAGCAGCATCCTAATGTCTCTAGGCTTCCACCTTTGCCCTCAACAATCCATCCTCAACAAAGCAGATAGAGTGGTGCTCATTAAGCACTAAGGCAGATCATATGGCTCTGATACTCAAATCCCAATAATACAGGTGTTCTTAACATCCATTATGCCAAGGACCCCTCTCAGAATAATATTTTTAAATTGATAAAATAAAATATGTAGGATTACAATACATTAGCCTCATAATAACATGATTCAGAAGAAGTCTAATAATTTCCATAATTTTGTATATAGATGAGTACAAGCCATAACTAATATTTGCAGATATCTGCAAATCCTGTAACATGATAGGAAAATACCTGTCCTTTCAATTTAAGAGAAAGTTACAGGTACTACTGATACTATTGTGGTTTGTTGTCTACTTTCACAATAGAAGGCAGTGCTAACTTTCAGTTAAAGCTTAATAAACATGCAATCTTCCCCCTGCCTTCTACCCATGGACCAAGGTTAGGACCTCAGCTATGTTTCCCATTTCCCTTCAAGTAAAAGCCCAAGTCCTAGAAGGGCTGAGAGCCCCTCCATGCCTGGAGCCTCCTCCCTCTGACTCATCTCTGAACAGTCACCTTCTTGCTCTCCCTGCTCCCCTCACAGGTGTCCTCAAACATTCTAGGCACACTCCCTCATCAGGAGTTCTTACACAGATTTCTGCCAGCCCCACCCAAATATGCAAGCCTGTTCCCTCACCTGAACATCAAGTGTTCACTTCAACTTCCCTTCAGTGAGGCCCTCCCTACCCCTGACCCCCTATTTAAAGTCTAGAAACCCTGACACTCCCATCTTCACTCCCTGTTCTATTTTTCTCCATAGTATTTCCTACCTCCTACTTGTTTTGTTCATTGTTTCCCTCCTCCCACTAAAATAAAACTTCATGAGGCTAAGAATTTTGGTCCATTTGCTCACTGCTGCACCCCATGGCTAGCACAATGCCTAGCACATAAGAGGTGCTCAAGAAATGCCTGTTAAGTGGGTGAGTTATACAGCTCACATATAGATGGCCAGAGACTTTTCCCCATGCTTCTATATCTGATAAATGCTACAATTGCGTTATTAAGAGTGTTGTGGGAGCCAGGAGAGTGAATGAGCATGTAACACTTTTTGCACATCTTTATTGCACTATCCTGTGCTTTCTGGGATGTCGACCTCTTCCCTCTGGCAAGGCTCGAAGCTCAGACCACATCAGGTTCCGCTCCGAAAGGCTGGGGCTTTCCCTAGCCCACAGTAGCACTCCACAAATGTTCAATGGGATATGGGGCTGTTTGACTGCCAAGTATCACAAAAACCCAAACTTTATTTCACCAGTTTGTCCACGAAAATCTACCGTAGATTAGGCGACACAACATTTTGTGTTATATTGTGAAGCTCTTCCCTCTGCTATTTATATTTGCCAAAGAATACGGCACCATTTTCACGTGTTCCTAGAGTTTGGGGGGGGGGATGGACAACAGCAGTAGGTTTGTGCCCTACTCTAAATCTGCGCTGTCCAGACGGGAGCCACGAGCGACACGTGGCTACTGAGCCCTTGAAACGCGGCTGCTCCAAAAGGAGACAAGCTGCACGTGTAAAACCTCCACTGAATTCTGAAGACTTGGTATAAAAAAGGGCATAAAACATCTCATTAATATTTATTTATATTGATTACATCTTGAAACAGTAATATTTTAACTATAAGGGGTTAGCTAATAAATATTCCAATTCCACCTATTTTTTTATTTTTTAATTAGGGTGACTATTAGAACATCTACAATTACATATGTAGCTCACTCTGACTTCTATTGGACAAGGCTGCTCTCTGTTGTCTAGTATTTGCCTCTAAGAGCTATTTTTCAATTGTTTTTGCTGAGTTCAAAAAGCAGAATGTAGGTTTACTCCACAGGTGACCCTTTCACCAAGGGCTCTGAGGCAAGTGGCCAGTGCATACATGACTGCTTACACATCAGGCGCCAGCAACGGCCGCCTGTTTGTTTTGCCCTTAACTGGAATGAGATGACAGGGACCTGTGGTTGGCAAAAGGGAAATACAAACATGGCAATAGGTACATGTCCTAATTGTTTTTATATAGCAAATGACAGGAGCATCCAGAGAAAGCAAAAAAGGAACATGCATAAGAAATAGGTCCTCAAATAAAACGCAGTCCTTAAAAATCAATTACTAAAGTGGCTTTATTAAAAATGATTAATTCGTTCAGTCACAAATATTGATTGAAACTCTGCTGCATTCCCAGTGTGTTCTGGGTGTTAGGGATCCATCAGGAACAAGATAGTCCACAATTCCTACCCTCGTGGAGCTGTCCTGCTATTGATTCCAGAACCATCTT